AACAACAACAACAACAAAAGACAGAATTAACTTGATGGCAAAGTTAGGACAAAAACACCCACTCTCTACTATCTTAAAGTCTTAGAAAGTTTAATTCCATACATACTGAATCTTGATTATATACTATACTGCTTTTTCCAATCTTGCTATTTCAGACTATGAATCCATTTTCAAAAATGCTTTACATGTAATGGGAATATAATGTGGCCCAGTTAAGGGAACACACAAGGTCTTCTTAAAGTTAATTCGCTACTTCACTTAGACCAGAATCTCTGCTTATTTCTCTATGACCATTATTTCCCCAAGTACTTTGGTTCCTGATGCAGTCAACTCCAGTCTCTAAGTGTGACTACTGTCAATGGTTCACCTGTAATCCTTTAGATGTGTTCATATTTGGCTCTTCTGGCATGTCTTTCACATTATTTTCAACTCTTTAGTTAAAAATAACCCTTTAGAAGAAGTCTGTTTAACATTTCTAGGTGCTTTGTAAAAGGACAGATTTCAAGATATCCAGTCCAGAATGGAACTCCCTATTGATTTTTAAATGTACACCAGTATAATTTACTATTAGGGAAAATCAGGGTCAACCAAGTCAATTTTACCAACACTCAAGATACTTCTTAATTAATTTTAAGAATTGTTATCTATTGTACATTGAATCAAAGATCTAAATATTTCACTCCTTTTCTGTTCATATAGTATGGGCTTCACCATATGACAGGCACTAGTATTATTATAAGTATCCTGAAGAGAAGCTTGAAATGTGTTAGGTGGTTTGATTTGTCCTTCTGCATTTCTCTTACTGTCAAGAGAGCATGTTCTGAGTAGTTTGCGAGTCTCTAAAGAAAGATCCAGTGAACAAAACACAGGAAGGAATTCAACCCAATCAGAAAGTACACCCTAGAACTGCTACAGTCGTGGAGGAGCATAAGGAATAAATACCTAAATGTTGCTACAATACATGAGTTTTGCGTGTTTGTAACACATATCACTACAAAATACATCTAATTAACAGAATTACTTTCTAATTAGTTCTTAGATTATTGTCCTAAAATGAAACGTTTCAAAATCATTTTGCAATAGTGGTCTTATAACTTAAAATTTTTTGTTCTGATCCTCAAAACACTAAGCTAAATTAGTAATACCATATTAGCACTTATTGATCTAAGAATCTGTTAATAACATTTAATGTAAAATGGCAATACCAACCTGGTATTTCTCTAAGAAAGAGAGATCTGTGGTTTCATTTAAAGGAAGAGACGATGCTGTGACATGAACATAAGGATTTAGTTCTGCAATATGTTGAAGTACAGCTTCAGCTCTAAAAAAAATGAAGTATAAAATGAGCTTTACTACAAATTTTATGTAATCCATCTTTTAAACTTTAAGGGTACCACAATAATCTAATAAAATAAATTTTGGAGAAATTTAATAAATTGTAGAAGCAGCAAATCAAGACTTAATAGATTTGAAATAAGAACATCTTATTTGTTCTTACAGATAATTAGTTTTGAGATGTAGCACAAGGTCAATTTCTGTAGCAAACCACTATATATATATGTATATATATATACACACACACACACACATGTATATGTGTATATACATACATATATATATATATCTCCACACACCACATATATACAAATTATACCTCTACTGCTCCTAATTGCAATATTGTTAAATCATCAGCTAATACTAAAAATCTCCTTTGTGGTTGTGTATTGGAAAGTCAGAATCGACCTATAGATAACCCTCCAAAGGATTTTAATCGGTGGTAAATGACAGGGGAGGAGACCGCCTATCTTTCTCCAAGGGAGAAGCGAGTGGGTTCAAACTGCATCTGCATACCTTTGTACTGACAGTACAATTCCTTATAACTAAGCCACCAGAGCTCCCTTAAAGATCTCCTTTAGTTGCATTAAAACATTGAAACAGATGAGGGTAAGAAGTGTTTAAAAGGGATATATGAATAGGTACTCTTGTCATTACAGAAGTCGAGTGAAGGCTGCACAGTGAAGTAGACTTGTGGGGGGAGGGATTGAATAACAATGAAAGAGTTTTCTCTCTTTTCAAGGATAAGAGTGAATTGGAGGGGGTAGAGAGACAAGTGCAACATGAATGACTGGAAACCCTAAGTCTCTGTAAACTTTCATTAAAATTAATTAAAAAAATTAAAACAAAACAAAACCCAAAAAACTTCCAGTTGATCAAGCCAATAAAAAAAACAAACCCCAAAAAGCAATATGCATGCATCAAAATTATGACAGACACAAATAATTAGATAAATATATATGCCAATATTTATCCATCGTGATATGGATTTATGGTTAATGATAAACAATTAGGATTAACTTAAGTTCTGAATACAGAAAATAATCTGTAAGTAACTAGAGGAATGTGAAAATAAATTACGGGATGATGACTAAATAACTTATTTTCACCTGTTTCTCATATTTACAACATCATTTTTGCAGAGAAAAAAGTTGGTTCCTAGATCCCATGGCTGGCATTTTTCTGTATCATGGATTGTGAGTGCCTTAAAAAAGAAACACAAAACTCTCATTAAAAGTCAGGAATATATATATATATATATATAAAGGAATAAATCAAAGATGCTCATTTTCAATATATTTTATTGAAGGCACTATCCTCTAATTAGACAAAAGAAAGTAATTTAAAGGCTTTACACACAGACACACATATCTGGAAGAATCACTAGAACTACTACTTTAAACAGAACTACTACTTCAAACAGTAAGTGAACTTATATTTAGAAAAGCGTTATGTTAGGCCAACATGGAAAGAAAATAAAAAAATACAAATATTTCAAAATAATTTACGCTGAAAGGAAAAAATAACAGGAAAAAAGTCTTCATTGATACCAGAGACCACAAATATTAAAGAAAAAGTAAAACTATATTAACACAAAAGGAATTTAGTGACTTATAAGAAAACAAATCTGTCTTAGAGAAAGTTAAACCAAGTTTCTCCTTGGAGGCTAGGATTTTGAAGCTCTGTCTCACATCCTTTGGACATGTGGCCAGGAGGGACTGATCTTTGGAGAAGGTCATCATGCTTGGAAGGGCAGAGGGACAGTGTAAAAGACAAAGACCCCAGATGAGATGGATTTATACAGTAACTAGGGAAAAGGGGGGTAAGTGTGCTGGAGTCAGTGAGACTGGCTCAGGACAGGGCAGGCTTAGAGCTATTGTACATATGGTCATTATGAGTCGCAAATGACTTGACAGCATATAACAACAACAACAACAACAACAACAACAAACAACAACAACAAAATATCATGTATATTTATGTTTTGACTCAGAAACCTCATTTCTAGGACTCTATTTCAAAGACATAATGGTTAAAAGACAAAATATGTACTTGAAGATATTATTTATACTAGCAAATGACTAGAAATAAATTTTCTAACATTACAGGGAATTCTAGTGACTTAGTGGTAAAGAAGTATACTCAATGCAAAGGCATGGGGCTTGAATTCATCAGCTGCTCTTTGGGAGAAAAATGGGTAATTTCCTCTTGTGAGACTTACTGCCTCTGAAAACCCACTGAAGGGGCTACTACGGGTCAGCTTTCAGTCGATGGTACATATCATCATCATCATCATCATCATTATAATCCTATGTGTGAATCAGAAATTTTAATGGTACTTCACAACCCTAAACCTGAAACTTGGAAATTCCTGTGTTTACTCATGATGAACCAGAAAGATTTATCAATGGTGACTTTCAACAGATACTGGGGCTGGATCAAAATGACTAAAAACTTGAAGAGGATTTAAATAGCCAAACAGGAAAGTACTTACACTGAAAACTGGTAAACATATGTTTGACTTTCAAACATATACAAATTATACTTTGGAACATCACTTTCTTGTATGAAAGGAAAAATAGAAAGTTTTCTTTCTAAAATTGTTTTAACTAATAAATGACGATAATAGAATTTCACTACTGCTCCTAAAGAAATAATCATTATTAGCTAATATTTTTGGGTGCCACTGAGTTGGAACCACATTGCTGACCTTTCAGTGAATTTTCAGAGGCAATAAATTGCACAGGAGATTACCCAATCATGTCTTGCAGAGCAGCCGGTGGAGTTAAACCATTTGTCTTTGTGATTGCAATGCAGCTTATCACTAATCACAAAATGGGACAACAGATAATCACTGCTTACAATGAGAGGGCAACACCTATATAGTGGTCCTGTCAAAAGACTAAAATGTGAGTTTGATTTTCTAAATCTAATTACAATGACTTTTAGAGCTTTATGACCAGATCCGAACCTTGCCTTGACCTGTGCTTTCTTCATCATCTGTCTTGCTCATGCCCACTGCTGCCGTCACTGTGTAAATCTATTTTGTTGAAGGTCTTCCTCTCTGATTCTTTACCTTTCTCAGCAAGATCTTTTTTTTCTCCAAGAGCTAGCCTCTACTGAAAATATGCCCAAAACATGTGAGATCAAGTTTTACCACCCTTGCCTCTAAGAAGCACCCGAGTTGCAATTCATCTAAGAGATCATTAGGCAGTGTGGGATAGTCATTACTCTTTGACAACACCAAAATTGAAAGCATTAATTCTTTTTACATCTTTCTTCTTCACCGTCATAGAGGCATAAGAAACAACAGAAAATATCATGGCTCAGATCTGACACACTTTAGTCTTTAAACTGACATTCTTGCTCTTCAGCATTTTAAAGCTGTCTTTGATAGCTGATTTCCCCAATGCAAGATGTCTTTTAATTTCTTGAGTGCTAGCCTAATGGCAACCACTGTCAATTCCAAATGCTCATGGTTTGAATCCACCAACTGATCCACAGGAGAAGGATGGGCAAGCTCATCCTTAGTGATATACTTGCCTATGAAAACCCACTGGAGGGTCAGATATGGGTTGACTGTGACTAGAGAGCACACAGCAACCACAACCATATTAGGGAACTCTTGTGGAGTGGTGCATAGAGTTTGCACAGTTAACTCAAGAGTGGTGATGGACATTTCCTTCAAAGACAAGTGCAGGGCTCCAAAAACCTGTTGGAAATGGTAAGAAACTGAGGGTGAATTCTGGACAGGAAACACTGGGTAACAGATTCTCAGTCCAACAATCCACAAAGAATTCTACCAACTAACATGAAAGAAAACTGAGGAAGATCGTCAGTCTTTAACTGCAGCTTTGTGAGAGAGCTGAAATAGAGGACTCATCAAGAGATATTTGATTCTTGACCTTCGGACACTTCAGATAATAAATGCTATTTAAGTCACTAAGTTTTACAGCAAGAGGCAACCAACATAAATGATAAGAGTTTTCACATTTTTAGATGTGAAGATGATATTGTGTTTGTTTTAAAAAGGCATCTGCATAGCTAAGAGAAATATACTAAAATATTTAAGAATAATATGACATGATGCCTGAGATTCAGATAAAAATAATTTTGTGAGGGAACAAGAATGGGAAAGTGATTACATGAAATAAATGTAGCCATGAGTTGGTAAGTGAAGCTGTGTGATAAGATAACATGGAAGCTTGTTAAATTATTCTCTCTAGAGGAAAACAGAACGATGAAACAATTTTGATAGTAAATGCAGAGACAATAATGCAGCCAAAATGTAAACAGTATTATCACTGTAAAGGATCACAAATTTTTAAAGCTCACAGTAAGTAGATGGTTCTTTTTACCAAAAATATTTTCCCCCTTACCTTAATTCCTGCAAGAACAATATTCTTTGCTATAAAAGAAAGAGAAAAATTAAAAGCTTACTATTAGGAACACATATGTCTTGATTAAGGTTTGTCTAAATCTTTGGATTCTGAGGCTCCGTCTAACATATTTTGGACATGTTGTGAGGAGAGACCGGTCCTTAGAGAGGGACATCATGCTTGGGAGGGTGGAGGGACAGTGCAGGAGAGGAA